CGAAACCCCTTGCCAGCGAAAGCAAGGGGTTTGCCTTCTGGGTCGAGCTCGTCGCACCAGGCTTGCCTAGTGCGGGTTACCTCTCCTATGTGGTTTGCGAGCTATTGCATAGGAGCGGAGGTTTTACCACCCTGCTGCGGGTTTCCCTTATCATAAAATAATGTGATTCCAATTCATATACTTTGCAAGCCCCACAAAATCAGATCTTTTTAATGTCTAATGGATATGAATTAACTGGGGACGTGTAGATCTAATTGTGAGAAATATATGGGAAAAATAATATTGAATTGTGTATCTAAATTGTTACATTGAGACCCTATTTATAGACACTACATTGGAATCCTTTTCCAACTAGGATTCCTATTCTTATTCCTATTCCTATTCCTATTCATATTCCTATTCTAAGTAGGAAATACTTATTTCTATTCTAACACTCCCCCTCAAGCTGGTGCATACAAATCATATGTACCTAGCTTGTTACAGATGTAATTAATACGAGGACATGTGAGGGACTTGGTGAAGATATCTGCAAGTTGATCATTTGACTTCACAAATTTCGTAACAATATCTCCCGAGAGTATCTTTTCTCTGACAAAGTGACAGTCAATCTCAATGTGCTTAGTCCTTTCCTGAAACACTGATTTGATGCGATATGAAGAGCCGCTTGATTATCACACACAAGTTCCATCTGATCAATTTCGCCAAATTTTAGTTCTCCCAGCAATTGTTTGATCCAAACTAGCTCACAAGTTGCTGTCGCCATTGCTCGATATTCTGATTCTGCACTAGATCGAGCAACCACATTCTGTTTCTTACTCTTCCACGACACCAAATTACCTACTACTAAAACACAATATCCGGATGTCGAATGTCTATCGGAGGGTGATCCTGCCCAATCAGCGTCTGTATATCCAGTGATATGCTCATGGCTTTGATCCTCAAAGAGTAGTCCTTTATCGAGAGCTGACTTTATATATCGCAGAATACGAACAACTGCTTCCCAATGACTATCACAAGGGGAAGTCATAAACTGACTTACAACACTCACAGGAAAAGAGATGTCAGGTCAAGTCACTGTGAGATAGTTTAACTTTCCAACCAACCGTCTATACCTTTCAAGATTACTAAGTGGCTCCCCCTGTTCTGGAAGGAGTTTAACATTCGGATCCATAGGAGTGTCAATGGGTCTACATCCAACATTCCTGTCTCCTCAAGAATGTCTAAGGCATACTTGCGTTGAGAAATAACAATACCTGATCTAGACTGAGCAACCTCAATACCTAGAAAATACTTCAGTCTGCCAAGGTCTAGGTCTTGAGTTTGAAAATGATTAAAGAGATGTTGCTTCAAATTAGTGATATCATCTTGATCATTGCCAGTGATAACAGTATCATCAACATAAACAACCAAATAAATACACTGATTTGGTGCAGAATGCCGATAAAACACAGAGTGATCAGCTCCACTACGAGTCATGCCGAACTCCTGAATTACTCTGCTAAACTTTCCAAACCAGGCTCGAGGAGATTGTTTTAGACCATAGAGTGACTTACGCAATCGACATACAAGGTTACTAGACTCCCCATGAGCAACAAAACCAGGTGGTTGCTCCATATAGACTTCTTCCGCAAGATCACCATGTAGAAAAGCATTTTTAATGTCCAACTGATGAAGAGGCCAATGACGAACTGCAGCCATGGACAGAAAAAGACGAATAGATGGGAGCGAAAGTATCACTATAATCGAGTCCAAATATTTGAGTATACCCTTTGGCAACAAGACGAGCCTTAAGCTGATCAACCTGACCGTTTGGATCAATTTTGACTGCATAAACCCAACGGCAACCAATAGTAGATTTACCTGTTGGATGGGAAACACATCCGTGCTACATTTTCCCGTAGTACTGAGGGTCGTTCAGAGTCTATTTTTTCATTAGTCCATTCTGATATTTGAGGTCCTAGTAGAGTCAGTTCACCCTTAGGTTTTCGTTATTTTGTTAGTTTCATTGATGATTTTTCAAGATGCACTTGGGTTTTCTTAATGAAAGATCGTTCTGAGTTATTTTCTATATTAAAAAAATATCAATCCCGAACGACATTGTGAAATTAGAATATTCTCACAAAAAATAAAAATAATTAGATCTGACTGTTGGAAATAAAATAAAAATTTGGGGCCAAAATCTGACTGCTGAAAATAGATCTGACTGCCGGAAAAAAAGAAGGAATCTGGTCGCCAAAAACTGGTCGGAATCAGGAAAATAAATTATATGATCAGCCTCGGAATCAAGAGGCAACCCCACTGGAAAAAAAAACTGCTGAAAAAAAAATGGCCAGAATAATTGCTGATTTTTTCTTTCTGGGACAGCAATTTAGGTCACCGGAAAATTGCACAGTGACGGCTGATTTAATTTTCTCACCATTGCTCTGATACCATGTGAGAAATATAGGAGAAAAATATTATTAAATTGTGTGATACATTATTACATTGAGACCCTATTTATAGACACTACATTGGAATCCTTTTTCAACTAGGATTCCTATTCTTATTCCTATTCCTATTCCTATTCTAATTAGGATTGTATATACTTATTTCTATTCTAACGGAGGATTTGTTCAACTCTTCCTAACTAACTAGTTAACTCTAAAGGATATGGGTGAGCTTTTGGCAAACTCGATCTAGTATCTGAATGAATGGAGTTCAATAGTGCGGAATGAATATAGAGGATTCATGTAATCTTTTCTACTTATTTTCATTGAGGTGTATTCGATTGGTTGATGATCGATTGTTAAATCTATTTGGTCACCATGTAGACTATTGTAGTCTAAATCCCCCAGTTATTGAAAGGCAACAGGATGGTTTTGGCCAAGTTGGTGTGTCTGGATTCCTATGAACATTTTCCTGAACCATCATGTTCCTCTCTTGCCCAAGTAGTTTGACCTATAGCTTTTCTTATCTATTCATTTTCTTATTAAGTGGTGGAGACCCTACAATTTCTTGAAATTGGAAAGTAGCTATAGTTTCTTTTACGGCTAAGTGAGTTATCACTGTTCTAGTTGTTTCCAACAGTTCTTGCTTTTTAGTGATCAAACCAGTGTGGTTGTAAATATTCCAACTTTACTGTCTAGTGTAATTGTGTTTTGATACTGCAGTCCCTAATGCAAGGCCGAAATTTAAGAGAAACCACAAATTTGTGGAGAATTTGTTTGATGCATTGTGTTTTTGAACTACACACATTACTCTTCCTTCCTCAAGTATGAACTTAATATTGTGGAGTCCATTTCCTGTTTGAGTAGATTGGCTAACAAACTGATGACGACCACATGATATATGTGTTTCAGTCTGACAGGAGTTATTCACCGATATAACACCCACATGAAAGCAGAAGATAAGGTCTCTGCAGAAGTCGATGACACAGAGGTATATATCTAGTTAACTTCACTGTCCTCTTATCTCTTGACAGAGGTACTGTATAATGAATAAATGTAACGAGTACACTAAATGTTTTTATGGTTCTTCGGGAACTAGAAAGCAACTCATGGGCTGTGAAGTCGAAAAGTTTAATCACCATGTCAAATTATTAATGTTTGTATAGTTTTTTGATTTCCCAAAAGCAAATCCATAGATGTTAAGTTAATACAAATCTTTGCAGGTGACTTGGTGGCTTGTAATGCATCTTTATCTATTGTGAGTAGATCCTAGGACACAAAATCTATATGTGAAGTTATATGTTCTCAGCTTTTGTCCTGCTCTAGTTAGAAGCTCCAATTTAGTATGTGGTAATTAAGGATGGTCATTTTACATCATAAATGAATCTTATTCAATATATTGCTGTTTGTTTTTCTAGAATGCGTTGTTTTAAACATAAGTTGTACATCGTCAAAACCAGGAAAGTGGTGCGACAGTTGTTCAGTCACATACATCATGCAAATAATGAGTATTAGCTATAGTCATTCCATTGAGAGTTAATCCAATATGCCTGGAGTAACTATATACAATTTCAGTTGCTGAAATTATTCTATCGTTGTATGGGAACAGGAATCTAAATATGCAAGTTTCATGAGAATGGAAGAACTGCTACAGACGGTAGAAAAGTACTGACCTTTTGCTGCTCTTTTTTTTTTTTTTGAGCTTCCCTTGGAAAGCATGGTATTGATCCACAATTTGACAGGCAACTCAAGGAGCCTGATGTTGATGATCTCAGCATTACTGATCTTGTCCATTTGGAAAACCAAGTCGAGACTGCTCTGACACAAACCAGATTTAGAAAGGTTTTGGATTTTCCACATTCCTCTGTACCTTTACTCATAAACAGACTTGTTCCAGCTGCTCTATAGAAACAACTTACCTTTTTATGGCCTAGAACTTACATAAGTGGGATGCCTAAAGCTGAATTAGTCTTGTTGGTGGTGCTACATCAGTTGTATTTCTAAGACATTGCAACCGTACAAAGAGTTCCATATTGGTGTGATCATTTTAATCCAATCCTACACCCATGCGTGCTAATTTTATCTTTTGCCTTCTTTTTAAATTATCTGCAATTCTTTTACTGTTCGACTGCTTTAGTTCCCTATTTCTTTTGGGAGTGATACGAAGTGAAGCTAACTAGTTTTGTTTTATGCAGACACACTTGTTGATTGAATCAATTAAGAATCTTCATGACAAGGTAGGTCTCCATTTTTCCTGAGTAGATTTGCTTAGTTTCCCAAAGAGCATGCAGGGTGCCTTCTATAGAACAGCTTCCTAACCGTGTCATTAGTTGATGTAAATATTGGCATAGCTGGCCTGGTTCTTCTTTCATGAGCGTGCATTGTTCTGATGTGAAGCGCTTATAAACTGATTGAGAGGATATGAGAACAATGAGAAGGTAAAGATAAGTTGGAAGATATGATGAGTTGAAGAGCCTTATCATTCTAGTTGTAGCAATAGCTAGACCTTAAAATTCATCAAGCGTCCCCCACTATACTTGGTATTATCTGTCTCCATCATTGAATCAATGGAAGTTATGGTGTCCTACTCCTTGTCACTTTTATCCTTTGATTCTCAACTCTCTGTTTTAAGTCTATCAATATAGGCCAGCTAATATTCTGTTTCATCAGCATAAAATGAAAACCTGAAACTTCATCTCCCCACGAGATGTAAGATCCCTTGGTACCTTGAATGCTATACTCATCCTTAGTTTCAACTTTCTAGTAAAGAGTATTGTTGCATGCCAATGTCATAATTAAACAGAGCCTGCTGCCTTGATGAAATCCACATGAGAGTTTTGGATTTTGCTAGGTCCAGAGATGACTCTTGCTGCTAGACTAAACAAATAGAATGATATTCTTGAGTCCAGACCACTGTAGAATTTGAGAGACAACAACATACCCAGTGAAATCTCACCAAGTGGGGTCTGGGGAGAGCAATTTTTGGAAGTTCTAATTTGCTGTATAGTGAGGTGCCATCTTGCTGTCAAAGAGAATTCTTTTTCCAACGGCAACAAAGGTTTTCACTGTACGTGGGCTTTTTAGAGTGTGTTATTGTTGAGCACCCAAGGGTGTGGCCTAGTGGTCAATGAAGTGGTTAAGAACCATGAGGTCTCAGGTTCAAATTCCAGTGGAGACAAAAACACCACGGGTTTCTTCCCCTAGCCTTGGTGGATAGAATTACGTGGTGCCTATTACTGGTGGAAGGTGGCAATTATACCGTGGAATTAGTCGAGGTGTGCGCAAGCTGGCCCGGACACCACGGTTATAATAAAAAGTGTTTAATTGTTGAGCACAGTCATGATATTTTTCCATCTACCTGTCTATTCAGCAAATAATAACAGTTCTTTTTATCACTATGTATGGGTGAGGTGCCATCTGGCCGTCAAAAACTGCTTCAGCAGAGTGTTTTAAAAACAATTTCCTGGTGTCAAGAAAGGGTATAAGATGCAGGGCATCAACTTTTCTGGAAGTGAGCTAAGCCAGATACTTAATCATTAGGACAAGGATCAAATATTTTCTATCATTTGATCGTCTACCAAACTCCTCACTCCTGGCTGAATGTTTTCCCTGACAATTGCATTTGCACCTCTTAACGCTGGACTTGTTATGGAATTGAGAAAATCATGGAGCTAGTTTGGCTCTTCAAGTTCACTAGCATACTGGCATCATGCTGTTTACAGTTATTTTTAGCTCTATAGATTTTTTTAAGGAATCCTATTATCAACTGAAGTTTATGCAATATTAGTGTGCCATATATCAGCATTTTCTGGACACAGGTTTATGTTGTTACATTGGGATTATGTTTAACATGCTAGACTTGACTGGAAACTATTTATCTGCAGGAAAAGCAGCTGATAGAGGAAAACAAAGTTCTGGAGGATGAGGTAAGTGCTGCAATTCGGCTAAACAAATATTAGGGTGATTTGTGTGGATATTTGGTACATGTGTGTGAATGACTAGTATGTTTACAGATAGGTACCATAAAGAACAGAGAAGAAAATGAGATGGCAATGAATTTAAATAACATTGCACCAACCCATATGGATTGTGGACAACAGAGGGTGACCCTGAATTTTCTCTAGAGTCTAAACACACTGAAGGCATCACATATCAGATAGAAGCTCAAGATATAAATAACAGCCTTCCCAAAATATAGCAGAGCAGCCACTCCTCTTGCCGTGGGATATGTCCTGCCGAGGTTATATCTGCTGCATCTAACTAGGGTGTGCTACTATGTAGTCTTCTCTTGTATGTTGTCTTGGTATGGTTGAAACACTGAAAAACTGTATAAGGATAAATAAAGAGATGCTGCTGCAGCGTCTCGATAACTTGTATGTAATGCAATGACTATGTAAATTAGAGGTTATATCAAAAGTAAGGGTGACAATTAGTCCATAAAATTATGACCCGTCTAATCCGTTTATGTTTGATAGTCCATATCAATCTAATTCATTTCCGTCCATTAAAATTTTGGGACAAATGTGGCTATACCAAAGGACTACTGCATCAGCAAAATGACTTGAAGATATATATAACCTAAATTCTAAATATCTTTCCTCTAATTCATTTTTCTGCTCACCCCGATTTTGTACATTTTATACAAGATACATATAACCTTATAGAGGTTTTTTAGAGCTATAATTAGAAATAATGTTCTTAAATTTTAGGGTGAATATTTACGTTATTTTATCAATTAGATTGTAGTGTCCGTCACTTTTGATATAGGTTGTAGTCCTAATAACAATGATTATTTAATATTTACATATCACTAAAAATAACAACATACCAAGTAAAATTTTGTAAGTGCGATCTGAGGAGGATAGAATGTATGCAAACCTTATCACTACCTCATGGAGATAGAGAGGTTTCCAAAAGACTATATTGAAGTGCAAAGTACAAAAGAGACAATGAAGAAAATATAACAAGTAACAAGGAGATAATGATAATGTGAAGTCTACCAGAAGAGAGCAAAACAACAAAATAATTTGATAATCAAAACACAATACACATCATACTAGGATACATTATTGAAAACAAGAGCTACAATACAACAACTAGTTCTATGTCAACCACCAACCACCCTAAGCAAGCCAACTACAATACCTACTAACCTTCAACCCTAATACGAGTCCTCCACACCTTCCTATCTAAGGTCATGTCATCGGTAACCTACAAGTGCATCATAGGTCTACCTCTGTCTCTCCATGAACCCTTGATAACCAACCTCTCGCACCTCCTACTTGTGCATCTACGCATCTCCTCTTCACATATCCAAATCATCTCAGTCTTGCTTCCCTCTACTTGTCCATCACATATGTCACTCCCACCTTCATTTAAATATCCTCATTTCTAATCTTATTGCTTTCAGTATGACCACACATCCACATCAACATCCTCATCTCTACAAGATACATTTCTGGAGATAGGAGCTTTTGACTGGCTAACACTCCATGCCATACAGTGCCGGTCTAACCATCACTCTATAAAACTTACCTTTGAGTTTCAGTGGTACTTTTTTATCACACAAGACTCCAAAGGCAAACCTCCACTTAATCCACGTCGCACCAATACAATGTGTGATATCATCATCGATATCCCCACTCTCCTGAATTATAGACCCAAGATACGTGTGTCAAGCCTCACTTCCACATCATTGGCATACCCCTAAATTGATCATAAATGAAATTTGCACAAAAGTATTATTCATTACAATTTGTTAGTGAAAAATACACTTGAGCTTATATAGGTACAACTATTTTAGGATTTGTACAATATTTTGGTCTTGTTAACAGAATTTCAACTGTCATAATATTTTTACTGATCTCACTGCAAGACTATGCTTTAAAAGTTTGTGCCTACTTATTGGCCGTTGTTTCCATCTTAGATGTGGGTATTATAATTTAAATTTGGTTGTAAAAGATGGTTGTGATTTATTTACCTCTTCTTTTGCTGAAATTTGATATGCTTGAGGTTACATTAAGTTTTGGAAAAATTACCTAACTACATTTCCTTTTTTATCCTATTTTTTATTACTCCCTATCATTCTAAAAAATTACAAAAATCCCTCTTTTTCATAATTTCTCTCACTTTTTCGGATACATCACTATATACTATTACCCAAAGATTTTTTTCCTTTTTTCACACCTAAAATCACTCAATGATATCACCAATTATCTCCATCACTCTATTTTTGAATTTCAAATCTTTTCTCTGATTTACCAATTGCAAGTTATTGAAGCGGTGGTTCTTCATCTTCTTCTTCATCCATTTTTTTCTTTCCACTTCATCCGGTATCAATCTTTTTTATATTTCTTTAGTTTTTCATCTACAAATTTAGTCGAAGAAGGATGCATCTTCAACATTAAAATCGATTGTGGAAAAAACGCCCAAAAAAGAAGAAAAAGTCGAGTTGTTGGTGGCACCGGTAAGGGCATTGGATCGAGATCCATGAGTGACGTCATTGTTGAAAGTGATAAAAGGCTACGGGAATTGATACAGAGCAAAAGACAAAGTGTAGAAGGATTTCTTCATTTTTTTTTTTTGGCTTTCAATAGATTGTTGACTTTTTTCAGATTTTTTGTTGTTCATCTTTTTTCTGATACATTTGAGTTCAGTTTTCTTAATGATTATATTTTTCTTGCTGTTTCTTAAATTAATGTATAATGCATTTGTTTCAACATTATGATACATTACAATTTTATCAAGAGTGGTTGGTGGCTCCGGTAATGTTTTGGGTCGAGATCCATGGTGACTACAAGAGTTGATACAGAAAAAAGGAGAAAGTGTGGAAGAATTTCTTCATCATTTTTTATTTTTTATTGCTTTTAGCAAATCAAATTGTTGATTTTTTTTTGTTACTTTCAGCAGATCTTTTAATGTATCTCGTTGATTTTGATTTTTAAATTAATGTATATTTTGTTCGTCTCACCTTTATGATACATTACAATTTTATCATGTATAATATCATTTTCAAATCATTCCATACACACACACACACATATATATAGTTACAATAGTGGCTTATACATATCTTTTTTTATTGGAAAAAGGGTCAAATATGCCCCTAAACTATACAAAAATGTCTAGATATACCCTATGTTTGAAGTTTGGCTCATATGTGCCCTCGCCGTTCAACTTTTCGCCCATATATTCCCTTGTAGACGTTAGTTGTTTTGCTGGAAATAACCAATTAATTTTCCCTTTCTTTAAATACCAAATGGAATCGCAACATCCCCTTTTAATTACCACGTGTCATTTATTTATATTTAAAAAATGAATACACCTCTTTTAAATAGGATATTCGACCCGTAAATCATATCCAACCCAAGATGGCCGGAGTTTCAATTCCTCCGACCAGATCTAAAATGAGATAACATTTGACATCTGAAATACAACTATTTTGGGGTCGTTTGCTAGCTGTCTTGCCAGACCAGTGAGGTGTGTGGGTTGGTGTTTTGTCGGCTACCTTGGGGGTGGTGTTCTGGAGCTCGTGGTGGTCGGAGCTATTTGGTGATTGTTTGTCCGAGGTTATGTGAATCAGTGAGCTCATTGGAGCTCTATTGTTTGCTCATGGTTAGAGCTAGAAGCTCACCTTTAATGGTGTTTTACTTTTAGGAGAAAACGATGAGTTTGGTTGGAGATGGCGTTTCTCCGACCAAATAGATTTTGGTCATATATGATTTATCAGCTTATGTGAAATATCCACCAAAGAAATTTGGGTCGGATAGGATTTACAGGTCGGATATTCTATTTAAAAGAGGTGTATTCATTTTTAACATAAATAAATGACATGTGGTAATTAAAAGGGGATGTGGCAATTTCATTTGTTATTTAAAGAAAAGAAAAATGAGTTGGTTATTTCCAGCAAAGCAACGTCTACAAGGGCATTTATGGGTGAAAAGTTGGACGGCGAGGGCACAAATGAGCCAAACTTCAAACGGAGGGTATAGCTAGATATTTTCGCATAGTTTAGGGGCATATTTGACCATTTTCCCCTTTTTATTTAACGAAAGTGAAAAATAATAATTTATTCTTTTAAAAAATCATGTAGGGATATATATAATCTTTTTCACACATGATATATTTTTTGACTTCTTCGAAATTCATTATTTGAGTTTCTTATTCTTATTTTAATATTTTTTGTTCATTCTTTAGTGTAATAATATGAGAATTAGAAAAGAAGAAGAGTGAATGGAAAAGAGAAAATAAGAAGAAAAAAATTAAAAAATTCCGAATATATTATAATTTATTTTTTGTATATATAAAAAAATAAAAATTAGGGCATATATGATAAAAAAAAATCAAGAAATTTAGTGACAATAAATTTGACCATCAAAATAGTAAATTCAAATTAGTCATTGAATCAAAGAAGTAAAAAAAAAAATATGCGTGAGAATTCGAAGGATCAAATATACTACATGAATGTTTTTTTTTTAAAAAAAATTAAAAAATTAATTCAAATTAATTTTTTCACTTCCATTTGTGTAATAATAGGAGTATATATGAACTACTTTTATAACAAAGGATATATTAACTATATTCCTCCAAATGACAAAGTCGATGGATATATCAAACCATTTTCCCAAATTAAAATTCTAAATCATCTCTAATATACACACACACTTAACAATGGTTTTAAACTTAATTATTCAAATATTAGTCACTAATAACATATCAATCATTAAGTTCATTTATTTTTTAGGTTTGAATCTTAATCATTCAAATCATAATCATTAAGTGTGTTTGTTATTTTAATGGTATAGTTACTTAATGAGTCTGAATAGACGTGAATGATTAATTAGTTTTACAATAAAGAAGACCTAATGCGTTTTCATTAAAATGTAGATTATAATTTAGCTGTATGAATCTAAATACATATATGAATTACTAAGATGTTATATTAAGATCTGAATACTATATAATTAAAGTTATTTGTTTTTCTAACACTTCTATATATAAAATTTGTCTTCATTTTGAAATTAAGAAATATAAAATTAAATAAAATACTAAATTAATTGAATACCCTGTAAATATCAATAAAAAAATATTTTTTTAAGGTGGTCGATGATATTGATGAATAGTAGTAATGTTTGTGGATATCTAGTGGGGATGATTGTAGGGTGGTAACATATAGTAGTTATTCTAATGGTGATGAGGATTAACAATAGAGATTTATGGCGGTAGTAGCTAATAGAGATAGTGAATAAAGATGGTGGTTGGTTATATATAAGTAGTGACGGAAGGTGATAATTTGCAGTTATTGTGATGATGATTGTAAATAGTGGTTAGTGATAGTGACTGATCACAAGAATGATGATTTTGAATTTTGATGCTAATAATGGTAGATGATAATGAGAAAGGATGACGATAACACGATTCAGTTACTATTAAATTATCTAAATATATAATTAATGTTAATTATTTGTTATCAAGGATTTTAAGGAATTATATTTAATTGAACATAAAAGAAAATCACAATTTTTTTTTGGTTAATTTTAAAAGTTGTTAGCTTTACTTTGTTATCGCGGATCGCATCCTCTTCAAAACTTGTCCAATCATCGTGCGTCTATGACTGTGAAGTGTCAATAAAAGTCTAGTCTCAAGCTTAGTAATTAGCATAAATGCATAATCATCCCCATGAGTCACAACCACATCATCATATTTTCTTAGTTTTGTTTAATTTTTTTTTTTGGTTTCTCATTCGGTGTTCGGAGTTCATGTTGGAGCCCCGACTAAATCCGGATCACGCACTACAGGCCCCATTTGGGGGTGGTGCTCCCAACAAAAAAAATTGTCATACCTAGGGTTCGACTCCGAAACCTCTGATTAAGAGTGAAGCAGTCTCATCACTGCACTACAACCCATAGTTTTTAGTTTAATCCTATATATATTTTTTTAACTAAATAAATGAAGCAAAAAGAATAGCAAATTATGTGTTGTAACCTCAAGGGTTTGCGTACGTCAATATTTCATTATCTATTCTGATCAAGTAATAATAGATGAGGTGCAATATACATGTAATAAAATAAAATCTTTAAATAGTAATAAATGGTATTTACCTTTTAATGAAGAAATATGGTGTTGATACTTGATAACAAGCTAAGGCTGATGGGCAGATCGAAAGAAGAAAAACAGAGATGGAAGAGCTTTAGTTTGTTTCGATTCGAAGGCGTCCGGGGCTGGAGGGAGCAGCTAATAAATAGAGACAAATATGCAAAACAAGGATTAGCCAAGTTGGCACTTCTCTTGGCTTGAAAACCTCCAACACAGCCAAGTGTGTATGCCAACTATGCAAATCCTTACCTGTTTTAATTCTTGGCTTACAACCTTCCACATGTAAAGTCATTTTCTATCAGAAACTTTATTTTAATTTCAATTTTCTTGTTGTATTTTGTTAAATTTACTTTTCTACATTCTTTGACACCTTCGTGGGTCGTTTGGCAAAGGAAATGGAATAAGTAAGAATATCACATGTAATTATTTTATACCACTTTTTATATGCGATAACATTTCTATTATTTTAGTAAATATATGAGATAAAATAATTCGACAATTAGCTAGTATTTCAAATCAAATATGAAATAAATTTAAATTTTTAAATTTTATCTCGAAATTATTATTTTTATCATAGTTACCAAATCATTTTAGTCAAGTTTCATTGGCACTATAAAGTAGTTGCTATCTTTATATTTTCTAGGAAACAACAATGTAGAAAGTAGATACTACTATTATTTGATTCCTTTTATGTGGTCAGCAGAGCTCTAACGAGAGTTCTTGCATACTCTTTCATCCCTATTCACTACTACTCTTTTGTTGATTTATTTGATGACCCCCCATCCCCATGTTCATGCATCATCATAACCAACTAATAATGTTAAGGATTTTTGGTCCACTTATTTACTTATGTGGGATTATAATGGAAAAATTATTTAGGCACTATACATTTATAAACCTTAAATTTATCATTAAATTTTATTTAGATACTTAAATTACAATATGTTTTAATTGAACACCTGAATGCATAATTATAAAAAAAAATTGGCTCAAATTTTGAGAAAAAAAATTATGTATACATTCTCAAACATTTAATAGGTAGATAATGTCATTGAATTTAAACTTATAAAATAGTTTGGATTATATTTTAAATGGGTGAAAATTGTTTACCCCCACACCCCTCCCTGACTTATATTAACTTGAATTGATTGACCTAAGTGAGCTATAAGATTAGTCTTCTAGGATGATTTGCTTCTAAATACCCATTAATTAATGATTTGTTAATTTCAAAAATGACAACTCTTTATCAACCTCAACTCCTTTCAATATGAATAATAATTCAACCAATTTAATAGACTATAACTAGCATATAGCAAGTATGGAACACACAAATAACAAAGAAATATTATTTTGGTACGTTGACAACATCAAAACAAAAAGAGAAGCTTTTTAGTAAATCATTATTTTCTCACGATTGGGTGGGTGTGAAGTGTACTGGTATGGTAGAAGGACCATTATCTTTTTGATATCGGGATCCTCCTACTATGAGGACAAATAAGTTGTTTGCTTCAACACAAAGAAAAATTGAAAAACTCACTCAATTAGTCACTGAGATGGAACTCGATGAGTTGGAAAGACTATTAAAGGTTACTACTCGTTGTGATGAGAATCTAAGGAGTTGCACAATCAAAGTGACGACACTTTGTGTTATGAGTACAAGGTAACAATGTTAATTCTTCCACTTCCTTAAACTTGTAAATTCATTGTGTGGTAGCCAATTGAGTATAAGTGATAGCTTGTTTTCATGTGAGATTAATGATTCCATACCATATAGTGATAATGTATTTGTTAAGAGTGTTCATACACTAGTTGATCTTATTGATGACCGAATTGTTTCTTCCCATAAGATCAATTTGTGTCCACCTAGTGTTGACACTTGTGTCTTGAATGATAATACATTTTCATGTGGTTCTTTGCCATGTTTTGATAATGTGCATGTTGAGAATGTGAATACATTCGTTAATCCTATTGATGACTACATTGATTCTTCTAGTAATATTAATTTGTGTCCACCAAGTGTTGATACACGTGCTTTGAATGAATCCTTAGACCTTAATACCATTTCTTGTTTTTCTCATGAAAATCTTGAGGTGGGATGTGTGTTTAGGGATAACATCTTATTTGATGATGACATAACTATTGAGGGTGTGCATAGTGGAATGTCTTGTAATGATGGGGTAGCCGCTCTTAAAGGTTACAACTTATTTAGTAATCCACTATGGTTTGATGACACACTTTTCGATGATGAAAATCTCTTCTTAGAAGATGATAGCATGTCCATTGGGAAGGATGGTGTTCTAAAGAAAGGTGGTGTATGTTCTCCAATAACCCCTTCATTCTTGTGTGGCCTCATTCTTAATCAAGCCCTTAATGCTCTTGGATCAAAGGGTGATTCTATATGTGGGCACGCCTTGGATGAAGTTCATTTATGTAGCACCTTTATTTATTACTTGTTTGCATATGATGATCCTTTTGTCAAATGTAATTTTAAGGTTGTGCACCCCAAGAAAAATATGTCATTGCTTATTTTTGGAGTTTCCTTTATACTTGCATCCTTGTTTGACACACTTGTGCTTAAGTTGTGTGAACCCCAATTAGTGGGTGCTAAATTGCTTATTTATTTTTAGGAGAGTCCAAAAATAAGGACTCTTAGTCACCTTCATAGGATTGGACAAGCTAAATTTTCAAGTGCAATTCTCTAAAGCATAATTGATACTCTTGGAAACATGCTTAGCACCTTTTTATACTACCTCTTTGTTTATGATGATACCTATGTTGGTATGAAAATTATTTACTATAGAGGTATAGGTATATGGATCTTGCACTTCTTTTACCCGGATGAGTCTTTAAGGGTGATTGCACCACTTTTGGTGAGGTCTTATTGTGAGGCGATGAAATAATTGTGTCTTATGACTCCTAAAGTATATGTGATATCATCTCTTAGGATTCCTTGTCTCATGATGTTGCTAATTACCATTTCCTTTGTACCTTATATGATGAATAGATCTTCTTCAACATAACAGATTGTTGGTTATATTTCAAATGTGGGCCTCTGATGAGTCTGAGATTTTAGACTCATTTGAGGTTTCTAGTTCACTAAATCATGTTTGCAATGCTTGTTTATGTTTATTTATGATGTTAACTATTTGAATTTCAGTTAAGAGAGCTCAAAGACAACATGAGGATAAATAATAACAAAAAAGAAGTGAAGTACTTGAAAAAGTAAAGAAAATGGAGAAGTTGAAGCTCTCTAAACACACTAGGCGACTCGCCAAATGGACCTCAACTCTACAAAAAGTTCAGACAGATGTGCTCAAAATTCCAAGTCAATTTGGCCAAATGACTCGTTGATCCATTTGGTGAGCTCAATTAACTCGCCCAAAATTTCATAAAACTCTGCTCATAAACTCATGCCAACTCAGTGAGAGACATGATCAAACGAGGACTCGCTGATCAGGTCGGTGGACTCCATCACGCTCTCCAAAACATGATCAAAACTTGAAGGCATGGAGTAAAGCTAAAAAATAATTGGGCAATGAAGAGGAGCATTTGAAGACTTGTCAAGTTGTTCAGCGAGCCCGACTAATTTCGCCGAAGTGGATTTTGAAGTGAATTTTTTGCCAATTTTTGAAAAAGTATAAATTAATATTCAGGAGAGAGAAACACATCTTTTATGTTATGATAATTCTGTACTTGGAAGCTTCTAAAGCTTTTGGATATTTTTCTAGCTAAGACTTGGGAAATTGGGGTATTGATTTGGGTTAATTCGAATTGAGGATTGAAACATTTCTAGCTTTGATGGAGAATAATTTCTTTGGTAAAACTCTTTTAATTTTTAGATGCTTGGATAAAACCCTATAGTCTTAGGGGTGTGATATGTAATTGAATGCCTAATTAGTTTGTGGATTTTTTTATTGCTTAATTATATGTTGGTTTGAAATGGGTTCATCTATTTCTTCATGCTTTTATTTATGATTTGAGGTTGCAAACTCTTATCTAGCTTAAGTTCTCTAGAACTGCTTGTGAAAGATTCCTAGAATGGAAGAACTAGTTGATAATTGATTGATTAGCTTTATATATGAGCCTTGATTGATAAAGAGGGTTGAGTTAAGGCGTTGGACTAGTTTTGAATACATATCGGGGTTTGATAAAGTTTGCATGAGATATGTTAGTTGATTGATAAATAACTATCGTGCATATTAATCTAGCCTACTCATTGATAATCAACTGTTTTGAGCAATACATTTACCCACAATACAAAATTGGTATTCAATTATGCACACTACTAAGATTTCCTTCTTACTTGTTGAATCTCTTTGTTCTATGCTTGTGTCAACAACTTGTTAAATAACTCCTTATTCATAATCTAAATTTCTCGAACTTACTTTCATGCCTAAATTGATTAAACAAATATGCAAAATTTTAGTACTTGAGTTCACTTCATGAGTTGAATTCTTGCTTAACATTCTTTGTGGGATTCAACCACCACTCCTCATTCGATTTTATATTGCTAACGACCGCTTACACATTGAATTGTAAGATGTGTAGTTGAGCGTTATCAGACTCCTTGATGAGTTGGTATGGTTAATAACCCATGATCTAACTCTCATGCTATGAGTATATATTTATTGTTTGTCATTTTTGTGGTTTTCCAAGGTTCAGATTTAAAAACGAATCTTTTTCAAGAAAGGGATGATGATAGCGGCATGGATAGTTAAGCAAATGAGCTCCAAAACTTACAAGTGATATTTATGATAAAGGAAGCTACGGAGGAGTGATGAGTCCACGATTTGGACTCATTTAGGGCTTAATTTTTATAGATTTAGTGTCCTCGAACGCATATTTTGTCTCAATAATTAATATAAATCCTTGAATTTCAGGTATTTGAACTTAGGGAAAAAGCATAGACACTATTGAGCAAAAAGGAACAAGGCAACTGAAAGAACGAATAAAAAAGGGCCTGAGGATCGCCTAAACCATTAGGTGAGTCGCCGAATGGCCTTGGTCTCGCCTAATGTTCCAGTGTGCCAAGCCCTAAAGGAGAAAATCAAGTCGGCGATAGAAAGGAGCAGTCGGCGAGTCGCTGAACAGTTCCGCGATGCATTGTTATATCGCCCAAAGTTACAGAACTTGAATTTGCTGAAGGGCAATGAAGAAAAACGATGAACCAGATCAAAGGGCGGATCGCCGAGTGGATTGGCGATCCCGACTAACTGCGCTGAGTGGACCTTCGCAACACACTTTTTAACAACTATAAATACTTGTTTGAATTTTTAGTTTAGTATGCAACCAGTTTATGAAATTTTAGAATTACTCAATTTTAT